TAATAATAATAATAATAATAATAATAATAATAATAATAATAATAATATAATCACCAGATATCAGGACTTGAAAATCGAACCGCAGAGACTCTGGCATAAACCAGTGCAGGTGGTTCCAGTGGTACTCGGCACACTGGGTGCTGTGCCTAAAGACCTGGTCTAAAGAATTGGTGCTGACAAAATCACCATTGGTCAGCTGCAGAAGGCCACCTTACTGGGATCTGCTCACATAATCTGCCCATACATCACGTGGTCCTAAACGGTTGGGAAGTGTTTGACTAGTGATTTGTGATACGAAACCCAGCATAGTCATCTCATTTGCTGTGTATACCATTGTTTTATGAATAATAATAACAATAACAGCAATAATAATAATAATAATCTGCAAGTCATCTTGAATTCCCAAATTATTATACTTATTTTTCTTATCTGTATCTCTTGATTCACAGCAAAATTATCATAAAAATTTTGTATGTGAAAGGTGGACAAAACAGAATGTTCTACATTTTTAAAAAGACTAAGCAAATCTGATATTTATGTTATGTTATGATAGAAATCCAATTACAAGTATTTTAAAAATATTCTTACATTTGGTCACACAGTTGTGTTCAATATTTAGTTCTGCTATGTATATTATTCCATGGAATGTTCATATTAAATGCAAACTAGAATATGAAAATCTGTAAACATTGGCAAAGAACTTCAGCTAAATTTAGATAGAGTATTTGCAGTATCTGTTGTTCAGTTCTTTTTAGAAAGGTGGAATCATCAACATGTTCAGCAATCTGACCTTATTTATTTCCCTCTCTGTCTAGGTTTGCAAGGCATACCAGGGGACTACATATCTCAGGGTGGTCCTATGGGTATGAGTATGACACAATCAAGTTACACTCCTTCCCAGATGACCCCTCATCCTACTCAATTAGAACATGGATCCCAATCCATTCATATTTGCCAAGTCACCCCATCACCCAGCCATGATGATGCATGGAGGACCCTTTACCCATCCTGGAATGACAATTTCAGCACAGAGCCCCCCACCATGTTAAATTCTATAGAACCAATGTTGGTGGACAGCTTATGGACATTCATGCCCAAATAGTATAAAGGAACTCAAGGAAAAATATTTTAAAACTTGCAAACTTTGACCAGATGTTGACACTTCATACGCAATTCCAGACAGCTGTGATTATTTTTTACTTTTATCATTTTTCATTAACAACAGAGGACCAATGGAAACAAGAACAGAAATATGAAATCATGGGCACACTGAAAAGAATTTATGTCCATGTAAAGATCCTCTGGGAAAAAAAAGACTCCAAGAGTTATAACTACTGTAGTATATAAACATAGGAATTAAGTTAACTTGTATATTTCTGTTGATCACTCCGTTATGTTGCCTCAAATAGTTTTAGAAGGAAAAAAATATCCTTGTTTTCCACACTATGTGTGTTGTTCCCAAAAGAATGACTGTTTCGGTTCAGCAGTGAAGTCGCTATCCCTGAAAGAAAACAATATATTTCAGACCTCTTTGGCCAGTGAGAAAAGAACTAACCTGGAGATGAAGACAGAATTTTGCTGGATCTTCCATCATTCAGAAGATAATTCCGTAAAGGCCTTGCCATCCCCTGGTTCTGTTCCTTCATAAATGTGTCCTTTAGTTTCAAACAGATCTTTATAGTTTGTGCTTCGTAAGCCCAAGATATTTTTGGACTCTTTTTTCAAAGAGCCTGCTAGTGAAGATTTAAAAAACAGAGCAGGAGCTTCTTTTAGTAATTCTGAGTCTTGGCTTTGGACAAGATAAATCTGAAGGTTGGGCAGCTTTCCTTAAGAAAAAAGATATTAATGGTCTTTGCACCAAACCTAGAACTCTATGATGAACTCAAAGCTTGAGAAAAAGCAAGAGAATACTGTAACAAACTTCGTACAGAGTTCAGTCTATTAATTGTTTCATGTTAGATATTCTATGTGTTTACCTCAACTGAAAAAAAAAAGAATGTTTTTGCTAGTATCAGATCTGCTGTGGAATTGGTATTGTATGTCCATGAATTCTTCCTTTCTCAGCACGTGTTCCTCACTAGAAAAAAAATGCTGTTACCTTTAAGCTTTGTCAAAATTTACATTAAAATACTTGTATGAGGACTGTGACGTTATGTTTTAAAAAAAAGTGTTAAGTCACAAAATGCGGTAATAAATATTTCATTTTTTGATTTTTTTTGTTAGACATTTGCATTTTTAATCATGATTAGAATAATGTATTTTCTAGTGATAGCAAGAGCTATTATCTTGCATTTGTTGCATATAATAACGAAAATAAAACTTATCTAAATTTATAGGGGTTTATAATAGCAAATGAGGTTATAAATCCTTTAATGTGATATAATAGTATTATTAGAATTATGTGTAACCTTTATATCTAGAACAAAACCATATATCTGTTTCCATATATGTGATAAAAGGAAGTACATGAATAGGGTCTTTTTCCCCAGTTTATCTCCATTTCTATCCTTACCCTTAGTTGAACAGCCCATAACTGACTGTAATACAAAGCTTATGGACTGTCATGTAGGATGAAATTATTAATGTTAGTTCATGAATAGGTTTAATGTCTGATACAATTAATCAGTAGAACAACTTGCCTCTGGAACGTGTGGATGGTCCAACACTGGAAGTTTTTAAGAAGAGATTGGACAACCATTTGTCTGAAATGGTGTAGGGTAGGGGTCTTCAAACCTGACAGCTTTAAGACTTGTGGACTTCAACTCCCAGAATTCCTCCTCCTGTCATGTTAGTTCAGGAATTCTGGGAGTTGAAGTCCACAAGTCTTAAACTTGCCAAGTTTTTGGTATAGGGTTTCCTGCCAGAGCAGGTGGTTAGACTAGGAGACCTCCAAGGTCCCTTCCAACTCTGTCATCCTATCCTATCCTATATTATCCTATCCTATTCTATTAATTTCAGTTCCAAACCATTTTGTTTTATTTATGTAAATATATAACAAAGATATCAAAATTAATCCTCTTTAAATGAATAAGAATGGGCTGAACAATGCTTATCACTCATAATTATTAGGACTGTGAAAATATTTCAAAAGAATTGTTACATATTTCTACATGTTGCAAAGCACTTTTCCAGGGTTTGCACAACTCTAATAATTAGTCTGCAATTCTATATATATTTACACAGAAATATTTTGCATGCCTTTGTTTAAATATGTGTGCATATAGGAATGCAGGCATAGATATCTAAAATAAATTTTAGAGTACTCAAATACAAATACTTCATATACTACATAAAGTGGAATACAAATATCAGGCGGTTGCATTTCAGCTTATTAAGGTAAGATATGTGTGAACCTTTTGTTTCCTTCACAGGGTACAGAAATCAAAATAGGAAGTCTCTAATTAATATGGTTTATGTTTTGTCCACACTAAGAAATAATGGTTCATGGTTTTAGAATTAATATACTAAATTATTAATATTACTTTTAAAATAATGTAACACAGATAACAATAGTTTTTCATAGGGACAAAATGGGAAACTTTCCTGACCTAAAGAAATAGGCGGTGCTCATGGCAGAAAAACTGATACATTGGCTTAAAAATGAGACCTAACTGCCAGAAGAAGAATAAGCAGGTTTTGGTTTGTACCCATGCACACAGGGCCATATAGCCTGCTCTCACTTTGTTACTTTTTAACATGACATCAATCATATGATAGAATTTATTGAGACTAAGACTGCAGTAGGTTCATAAGAGCTGAGTGTTACTGAATTTCATGAGTGTTAGGGAATTCAGTGAGCTGGAAACAAAACAGTCACATGGGTCTGGAGAGGAGGAACAATCCTCCATGTTTAAAGTAGGCACGCCATTAAGTGTCTGGTAGAGGGACTTCATAATATAACCTCTTTTCATTGTAGGTAGATTTGCTGCAGAAAGGAATTTTTGCTGTAGCATATCTAATGTGAAACAGAAAGACTACAATTCAATTAATAGAATAAGTATTACAGTTAAGGAGTTCAATAATGGCCCAGAATTCTTGCAAAAGTATCAGCCAGTTGCCCCATATCTCATAGGAAATTTGATGCAATGGGTTTCAAGTAATAGGGCACAGGAAACAGGAATTGATGAACTGCTACTTTGGGAAGGAAATGAGGCACCATTTGTGTTCTGCTGCTGCACACAGGTATTTTTCCTCAACTTGATTGGTAAATATTTTCATTTGTTTCTTTAACATATTAAAACAATTACAAAACAATCTTTCAGTCTTAAAATGCTATACAACTGAAAAGGAATATGAAGTCCTACTCGGCTGAGACAGCTCAACTATACTTGGACAGAAGACAAATTCTATATTAGATGTTAAATTTAACTTCCATTTAAACCTGTATGATTCTCAGTTCTGTTATTCAGTTCTTACATTCTTGGAAATATAAACTAAGCATTAGATTATTAGAGCAATACAAAAACATTTTTCTTTTCTATTTTTCTTTAAATGAAACTGAAACCAAATGGTATTTTAAATCAGATGTTGTGACTATTTTCTGACCTTGGCAAAGAGTTTTCAGTGAAGATTTTCCCAGCAAACTTACCCTTTTCTTATTTTTATAATGAACTAAAATCTTTTTATTCCTACAGCATCTTTTCTCTCCCTAGGTTGTAATCTGCATGAGCTATGTTTGTAGAATCTGAGCTGCACTATAATGGGAAAAGATTGTGCCATCTGAGGTTTACTATTTAGCATGGAGAGTTCTGATTTGGGTATATTTAAGAAATGTTCAGCTGTCAAAAGTGAAAGAAAATGGGAATAGTGTTTTGACAGCGGTACAGTGTTAAAGGAAATACTTTAGTCTGACTAAAATTGCTTACGTTCTGGGAAACGAAAGGTAATAGAAAAATAGAAAACACCTCTTGTTTGTTGGGGGGGATATCTAATTTTCCATTTCCCTAAGCAAGCCAAAGAAGACACTATAATCCTAGAAAATAAGAAACGCTTGAAATTGATCCATTCTTTGTTATGGAAGATGGAAGGAATTTTGACAAAGAAAACAGGAGTTTTAACTTCTAGCTGTTTTTGGTAGATTTCTAATGTAAAAGGGAGAAATGAAATTGGTTTGGGAACACATTTTTTCCTAGGCAAAATTGTATATTCAATTCATGTACAAAGCAAAATGCATATGTGGTGAATGATGCAGTGTCATCTAAAAGTTTCACCAAATATTTTAAATTTTAACATTATTTCTCTGCAGGACCCAAATTCTGCCTTCAGATCTGATGCCAGGGCTGCAATGCAATTTACATCTAAGTAGGTATGTTTGAAATAGGACTACGATGTTGCAATTTCCATATGTGGGCTAAAGAGAACAAACACTATGAACTTAGTAAAATTTGTATATAGGATGTACAGGAAGGGGCTATTCTGAGCCTCTAAAATCTTTTGTGCCATGTGTAAGCACTACTAAAAGCACAAATCACGACAACATAATTCACATATAGCATCATACGTAGTACATACATATATAAATAGTAATGAATAAATAAGTCTAAATCTCATTAAGGGGCTGGCAAGAAGAGAAAAGCCCATGACGGAAAGATCACAGTGCCTGTGAGTAAATGGTAGGACACATTATTTGCAAGAAGGGGAAAATCCAGTGGATCCAAGAAGAATGATGTTTCAAGCTTCCTCTTTTGTTAGGAAGACAGCCTTGGCCTTTCTTTACCTCTATATTAGTGCAGGATTAGGATCCAGGAGCTCTAATTGCTCATACAAATTGTGGCTTTTTAAAGTGTTGCTATTCTTCGCTCTTCCTCTACCCCACATCCTTCTTGCATGTTCACTCCAAAGTAAACCTTGTCAAATTAAGTGGGTATCGTTCTCAAGGCAGGAGAGTTATTAGAGTTATAAACTGAGAAACAGACACAATTGAAGGGTGTGGGGAAAGCTTTGAGAGTGTTTTTGGCCAAGTTAAGTAGGGGGAGAAAACCCCCACAGAGAGAATAGGAGGGGAATGGGTGGAGATGTTATAAAGCAGATTTTCATATTAATAGTTTAGGAGAAGTGAGGCAGAAGGGAGGTGGGTCTTCTGGGCAGGGTCCCTGCCACAGTCATGATGGATGACCCAGGAGGAGACCTCCCCCTTCCTCAGCAGCTTTAGGAACCGAATAAACAAACACCTCCACCCTCTTTGCAGCTTCTCCATTATGAATCAATTACCTCGCGCCGCATTCTCTTATTTGCTTAAATAAAGCACTCAGAGGATTAAAGGGGTTTCTTTTTGTGTTTTACTTAGGAAATAAATACAAAAAAAAAAAAGTCCTTGTCGGCGGTGGTAATAATAATGGTGATGATGATTTCAGATTGAGGCACTTCGCAAAGAGCTTCGCCCGCTGAGTTATTTGCTGGATTGGAAGACGCTGCACATTGTGCCACGGCGCAACTTAAAAGAACGCCTCTCTCGAACTAATGGGTTTTGCATTACACGCAATTACTTAGAGAAAAGCCACGTCGCCCTCGAGTGCAGGCAACCTCGTTATTTAACTCCTTGAGGACAGAGCCGCCGGGCGACGTTTCCCTCAATAGCTGGGACTCCGGTGTTTGCTCTGGAGATGCTGAAGTGGGTGAGCGAGAGAAGCCGAGCAAGAGAGCGGCCCCGAACAATGCTCGCACCCAGAAGTTGAACCGGGAGGTGTAAAGAGACTTCGTTTAGGATATAGGCGTGGAAGTTGGGTATTGGCGGCGGGGCGCGCTGCCTTTTCCCACTAGTAGCCAGAGCATTGGAGGCGCTCAAGGTGTTTCTATGGCTACCTCGTGCATGTGGGAGGGTTAGATGTGAGGGTGCCCAAGGGAAAAGGCAGCTCTTGGGTGATCATTTATCAATGTCACCCACATAATGATTCTCTCTGCAGCCCTCTATTGATGAGGATAATTACATTAGCTCGGAGTGACTGATCAATGAAAACCCACCAAACAAAAACTTCTTTGCTCTCGCTTACAATACAAAAGAGAGAAGCGGAGAATGACACCCCCCCCCCCACCTCCGCTCACCATCACCACAACCAGCCTCACCCCTTTCCTCTCGGCCAATGGGTTTCGGATAAAATAAGAAAGAAAGAAAAAAAAAATCAGCCGATCAACTCAACGGCGAG